GCAGACGTGGCAGCAGAGGAAGGGGTCGAGGCAGCACTAGTCGCAGCCAGAGGCCAGTGCTCCCGGTGTCATCCAGCGGTCGTGTCTCCACCGACAACCCTGCCATCATCGATTGGTTGACTCGGTCGTCTTCCTCTTCCCAGGTCACCTCTGACACCTACAGCCAACGGTCGGTGGGTACGTCAGACACAACCGTTAGTTGGCATGGCCCGGGAGCAAGCCCACTGAAATCACGTGTCCTCGACCTGCCCCTGTCCTTTGGTGTTCCCTCACCAAGCGAAGTATCGCATGCTGTGGGCTCAGCCCCACTGTACAGTGAGGAAGAGCTAACAGAGGGCGGTCAGGAACGGGGGGAGACATCCGCTTCTTAGCAGCCAGGCGAAGAAGTACTGGCGAGGAGAGTGGCTCGGTAGCCGGTCTAGAGACAGGTCTGTCTCCTGACCCACACGCAGCCGAGGGGGCTAGTAGTGACGCGGAGACCCTAATTGATGATGATGAGGCTGATCGCACTTGGCAGCCTCGTCGTCATCAGGCTATTGCTTCCGCATCATCAGGAGAAGAGGGTGCCAGCTTGCCAGCGAGCAAAACAGTCGGTGGGTTGCCCAGGAGGCAGCAGGGTCGCAGCAGTGTCAGTGGAGGCAAACGGCCACGGAGTAGAGCACCAGCTCCACTGCAGCCTACCACCACGGCCAGTAGTGGTGCCGGTGTGCACGGAGGAAGTAGCAGTCAGCCAGTGAGGAGTAGCGGGGGCAAAGTTTCCTACTCGGCGGTGTGGCAATTTTTCGTCAAGCCGCCCGAGGAAGTAAACGTAGCCGTATGTCGACTATGTGGCCAGAAAGTCAAGCGTGGCCAGGGGGCCCATGTTTGGGACTACAGCGTTGCGTCAGCATATGCAGCGTCGCCATTCGGTGGCCTGGGAAAACCGTGATAAAGATACGGCGGTTCTGCCTGCCCCAGCCCCCGCTCCATCACCCGCTCCGTTACTTGCTCCGTCACCTGACGTCAATCGCCCTCTATCAGCCAGTCAAGGCTCCAACACCTCTGCTGAGGGGAGTTGTCGCTCGTTGGCATCTTCCGCTCGTTCAGATGCTCCTTCTCCTGCTACTCCTCTTCACGGATTCCGTCAGCAGTCTTTCTTGGAATCCGTTTCCAAGAGACAACAGTTTGCGAGCACGCACCCGACGGTGCAGAAGCTGAACGTCCTCCTGTCCAAGTTGCTGGTGCTGCAGTCCCTCCCTTTCCAAGTGGTGGACTCAGCACCTTTCCGAGAAATGATGGCTTGTGCCGAGCCGCGGTGGAGAGTGCCAAGCCGGCATTTCTTCGCCAAAAAGGCAGTGCCAGCCCTGCATTCACATGTAGAAGAGATGGTGGGCCAGTCTTTGAGCATGTCGGTCTCTGCCAAAGTGCACGGCAGCGCCGACGTGTGGAGCTGTAACTACGGTCAGGGACAGTACATGTCATTTACGGCCCACTGGGTGAACGTGGTGCCGGCACAGCCGCACCAGCAACTTGGACAGGTCACGCCGCTTTTGCCTCCACGTTTGCACGTCCTTGGTCCAGCAAAGATGTCCGCCTCTACCACCTCTTCTTCCGCCGTGTCCTCAGCCGCCACCCCCGTGCCAAGTCCCATTACCCGACCGGCATATCACATGTGCAGGGCAACGGTGTCACGCTGTGCTGCACCTGGTATGCCTTGGCGAACGTAGTCACACAGGGGAGGAACTTCTGAGTGTAATGAACAGAGAAATCGACAGATGGCTGTCTCCGCGCAAACTGAAAATCGGAACCATGTTGACCGACAACGGAAAGAACATGGTGTCTGCTCTGCGTCAAGGAAGGTTGTGCCATGCGCCATGCATGGCTCACGTGTTCAATCTGGTTGTCAAGCGGTTCCTAAAATCCACCATCCCACTGCAAGACATCCTTAAAATGTCACGTAAACTTTGCATGCATTTCAGCCATTCCTACACCGCAAAGCACACCCTCCTTGAGCTGCAGCGGCAGAACGGAATTCCACAGCATCGCCTGATCTGCGACGTTGCAACAAGGTGGAATTCAACCCTACATATGTTAGACCGCCTTTACGAACAGCGAAAGGCCATCACCGATTTCCTGATGTTACAAGCGGATAAAGGTACTCCCCTGTGTAACTTAGATGTCAGCCATTGGCAGCTCATGCGTGACACCTGCCGCTTGCTCAGGCCCTTTGAGGAGGCCACGCTATTCGTGAGTCGGCAGGACTATGGGATGAACGACGTCATTCCTCTGTTGCACGTCCTGGAACAAATGCTGTTAACAATGGCTGGTCAGGGTGCGGTAGACGTGGCGCACAGATCTCAACGCCACATGACCCCTGTGGGGGCAGGACAGGAAGAAGAGGAGGAGGTAGAGGAGGACATTGGTGCTCAGGAATTATTGAGTGAAATGGGTGGTTTTTCCACTCAGCGGACAGGAGTGGAGGAGCAGGAGCATCTGGTAGAGGAGGAGGAGACAGAGGACCCAGACGCACCGTGGCAGTATGCTGTGGAGATGGAGGCAGGGAGTCCCTCGCATTCCTTGGCACAAATGGCCCATAGCATGCTCGGTTGCTTGCGTAGCGACAGCCGAATAATAACCATCAGACAGAGGGATGACTTTTGGCTGTCCACCTTGTTGGACCCTCGCTACCGTTCAAAAATGGTGGCCTTTTTCACACCTGCTGAGAGGGAGGCCAAAATAAAGTACTATAAAAACCACCTATGTAGTCAGTTGGTCTCTGCCTTTCTGCGCCAACGTCCATCCTCAGACACTGTGGGCCCTGTGCGCTCGCGTTCCGCTGCCATGGCAGCAGGGGAGGGGTGGGGTGGTAGGAGCAGTGGCAGCTCCACCAGCAGCGGCTGCCTCAGTCTGCAGTCGATGATGAGTAGCTTTCTTCACCAGCGCAGTGAGGAAACTACTAACCAGCCGCAGCAGCAGCAGCATCAGGTGGACCTGGAGCAGGACCTCAAACAACAGGCTCGGGCCTACTTGGACAGCACCCTGCCAACCGAGGTAGACAATCCCCTTGACTACTGGGCAACGAAACTTGACCTTTGGCCCCAACTAGCTGAATTTGCCCTTGAAAGGCTGTCATGCCCGGCCAGTAGCGTGGCATCGGAGCGCGTGTTTAGTGCGGCAGGAGGTATTGTAACTCCGCGGAGGACACGACTGTCCACCCAAAGTGTGGAGAGACTCACGTTTGTGAAAATGAATCAGGCGTGGATTAGTCTGGATTTCAAACCACCAGTTCCTGACACAACTGACTAAATCCGCCATGAATCATGCCCCAAACATGTTATTATTTTTAACATAGGCCTCTGTATGGCCTTCAATTTAAGCTGCTTACGCTTCGCTTCGCCACTCTGCCATGGGCCCCTGTACCGCCTCCTCTTGCTGCTGCCAGGTCCAGAGTGTGTCATGGGTCCCTGTACGGCCTCCCATTGCTGCTGACTTCATCGCCAGACTCTGCCATGTGCCACTTTCAGGTCTCCTTACACTGTTGGTGGGTTCCATTTTGTGATAGGGTGCTGTATGGCCTTCCATTGCTGCTGCCTCCACCGCCACCCTGCGCCATGTGCCTCTGTCGTCTGCTCACGCTGCTGACGGCTTCCGCTTTTTAACCGAGGCCTGTGTTTGGCTTCCGAATACTGCTGCATCCACCGCCACCCTGCGCCATGTGTCTCTGTCGTCTGCTCACGCTGCTGACGGCTTCCGCTTTTTAACCTAGGCCTGTGTATGGCTTCAGAATAATGCTGCCTACACCGCCACCCTGCGCCATGTGCCTCTGTCGTCTGCTCACGCTGCTGCCAGGTCCATACTGATTCATGGCCCCCTGTACCGGCTCCTCATGAACGTGGTTCAGCGGGTTTGCATCACTTAACGGCAAATCGTTGACAAACGCTGGGACGTTCAGTGTTGTGCGCATTAAGCCAGACACCAAAGGGCAGCACAGACCTGTTATTACTCGCTCAAGCATGGCTGAACAAAACCAGTCTCTACCACAAATTGGACCCAGACCTGCCCAGGGTCTCGTAAGTAGATTGCACGGAGGAGTAGAGTTTGTTATTGGAATTAACTGTGAGGGACTTTTAAACCTAGGCCTGTGTATGGCCTTCAATTGAAGCTGCTTCTGCTCCGCCACTCTGCCATTGGACTCTTGATAGTTTGTCAACGATTTGCCGTTAAGTGATGCAAACCCGCTGAACCACGTTCATGAGGAGCCGGTACAGGGGGCCATGAATCAGTATGGACCTGGCAGCAGCAGTGAGCAGACGACAGAGGCACATGGCGCAGGGTGGCGGTGTAGGCAGCATTATTCTGAAGCCATACACAGGCCTAGGTTAAAAAGCGGAAGCCGTCAGCAGCGTGAGCAGACGACAGAGGCACATGGCGCAGGGTGGCGGTGTAGGCAGCATTATTCTGAAGCCATACACAGGCCTCGGTTAAAAAGCGGAAGCCGTCAGCAGCGTGAGCAGACGACAGAGGCACATGGCGCAGGGTGGCGGTGGAGGCAGCAGCAATGGAAGACCATACAGCACCCTATCACAAAATGGAACCCACCAACAGTGTAAGGAGACCTGAAAGTGGCACATGGCAGAGTCTGGCGATGAAGTCAGCAGCAATGGGAGGCCGTACAGGGACCCATGACACACTCTGGACCTGGCAGCAGCAAGAGGAGGCGGTACAGGGGCCCATGGCAGAGTGGCGAAGCGTAAGCAGCTTAAATTGAAGGCCATACAGAGGCCTATGTTAAAAAGTCCCCCCAGCAGCAGCGTGGGGAGACGACTATTAGTCGTCTCCCCACGCTGCTGCTGGGGGGACTTTTTAACATAGGCCTCTGTATGGCCTTCAATTTTAGCTGCTTACGCTCCGCCACTCTGCCATGGGCCCCTGTACCGCCTCCTCATGCTGCTGCCAGGCCCGTAATCTGCCATGGGCCCCCGTACCGACTCCTCATGCTGCTGACAGGCCCGTAATCTGTCATGGGCCCCTGTACCGCCTCCTCATGCTGCTGCCAGGTCCAGAGTGTGTCATGGGTCCCTGTACGGCCTCCCATTGCTGCTGTCTCCATCGCCACACTCTGCCATGTGCCACTTTCAGGTCTCCTCACACTGCTGGTGGGTTCCATTTTGTCATAGGGTGCTGTATGGCCTCCCATTGCTGCTGCCAGGCCCGTAATCTGCCATGGGCCCCCGTACCGACTCCTCATGCTGCTGCCAGGCCCGTAATCTGTCATGGGCCCCTGTACCGCCTCCTCATGCTGCTGCCAGGTCCAGAGTGTGTCATGGGTCCCTGTACGGCCTCCCATTGCTGCTGTCTCCATCGCCACACTCTGCCATGTGCCACTTTCAGGTCTCCTCACACTGCTGGTGGGTTCCATTTTGTCATAGGGTGCTGTATGGCCTCCCATTGCTGCTGCCTCCACCGCCACACTGTGGCTCCACACTCTGGTTTTGGCCCCGTGACTTCCCAAATGAGTGAAGTGTGCGGTGATTCTAAGATCGACGGCACTCATCTGCATGTCATACTGACTGACAGTATTATTTCTCTTCCCCAGCAGACTCCAAGGGCATTTAAATTAAAGGTACAGTGTTCTGCACTAATATAAAGGCTCTCTGAAGCCTAGAAACACCCTTTTTACACGTTAAATTCGCAGCGAATATATTCGCCTCGAATCAAATTTATTCCGCGAATTCGGCGAATCAGCCGAATCGAATTTTTGAATAATTCGCTCATCTCTAATTATAATACAGCAATATAAACATGACATTGCAATATATAGGTGTAAATTTATCATTATATAGTTCCTTTAGCGCATCAATGAGAGCCTTGCAAGTTTCAAGTATTATTATTCCTAGGGCTTGTGGTGAAATTCCCGTAGTGAAGTTTATATTTTGCAGACTTCTCCCTCTCGCCATATAGTGTAGTATTGCTATCAGTCTTTGCTCCAGATTAATCGGTTTCCACATAGGAGTATCTACTTTCTGTATGACAGGTGTCACAATGTGAAGTAAAGCTTGGAAGCATTCATCATTCATGCGCAGGTGGTTCCTGAAATCATCAGGGTTATTTTCTTGCAAAAAGAGACATGTGCGAATATTGGTCTCTGTTTCTCAGCCATTGCTTTGACCATATTCTTTGTTTTCCCTTCTTCTTCTGCCTGACATTGCTGATGGTCAGAACTCCAAGTATAGCAACTGGAAGTGCAGAGTCCATGCAGAAGTCCATTTCGATTAATCGCTCGTGTACACAAAGGAAGCTACGTGTGTACACACTGATCACGAGGCAGCACTCAAAACCCTGGGCATGGTAAGCACAGGGGTCATACATACAGTGCATCACTTCCGATTCCACACTGCTATGTGGCTACGCACATGGCACATTCTATTTCATTGTATCAGATGTTTTGTATGAATATTATCGCTCGTGTATGCGATATGAGACTAGCATGCAAAAAATTTTTTAAAGAAAACTTGTACGATTTTCTCAATGTGTGTACAAGGCATAAGCTGCATTTTTTTTCATACCATTTTAGGCGAATTTAGCTGTGTTTGGAGTGTGGGCAGTTTTTTATTTCATTGAAGTGTTTAGGCACGTTTAGACGTGTTTTGGTGCGTTTTGCCATGTTTTCTGTCAAAACAATCCTCTCCTGAACGCAATTCTTATTTTACTGCCTCTAAACTCTGCTGCTCCTAAACTCTGGTAAATGATTGTGTGCATGGACACATAGGCTTTTTTTTTAAGTTGAATTCAGGGGCATTGGCAAAAAAAATGCCAAAACCTCCTAAACGTGAGTCTAGGAGAAGCAGTGTACATGAGGCCTTAATCCTGACCACTGAACTGTGCATTACCTAATCATGGCCCATTAACTCTACATTACCTAATTGTGATCCCTGAACACTGCTTTATGCAATCCTAACCCCTGAGCTCTTCATTACTTAGTCCTGGCCCCAGCCCTCTGCCTTGCATTCCTAGCCTCTGAACTCTGTGTTATTTACTGCCGCCCTCTTAACACTGCTGTGTTACTTAACCACTTGACCTCAAAAAGGTTTTACCTCCTTCATTACCAGGGCATTTTTTGCTGTTCAGCATTGTGTCACTTTAACTGCCATTTGTTCAGTCATGCAACACTGTACAAATTAAATTTATATTTATTTTTTCACACAAATAGAAATTTCTTTTGGTGGTATTTGATTGCCAGTGGGTTTCTTATTTTTTAGTAGAAAAATGAAAAAATACCAACAATTTTGAAAAAAACACCCAATATTTTCTACTTTCTACAAGAAAAAAAAAAAGTGCCCCCTCCCCCAAAATCATTATCAAAACCCTTATCTTAACATGCAGTCTGGCAGGCCAGGAAAGGGGTGGACCAGCATACACACCCCCTTGTGATTCATACCAGGCCACGTGCCCTCAACATGGGGGTGGTACCTTGCCAGCTGATGAAGTCAAGGACTTCTTCCCAACAACCTGTGGGTTATAGGGGACTGGGGACAGGAGGCTGATCGTAATCTGGAAGCCCGTTTAAAAATAAGGGGCCCCCATCATACTGGCTCCCCCCACATGAATGAACAAGGCATACTTAATACTACTCTGTTTATTCACAAAAAAACCCTACTCATTCAAAAATAGTAAATAAAGACACCACCTGTTTTTGTAACAAATGCTTTATTAAAAAAAAAAAAATGTTCTACAATGAAATTCCATCATTAATCATATCGTCCAGTGATGTAGATCCTCATTCATCATGATGAATGACATCCTTCGACTAGCCAAAAAAAAATAATCTGCCAACCAGCCAGTACATCAGATCATGTCGCTTATCCCCTCACTTTATATTTTAATTGATCATAAATTGGTTGTATGCAGTTGTTCCTACCTAGATCATTCACATACGGCCACACTGCAGATCTCTTAGCCAATGCATAATTTATTAGACTTGCTGCTGGGCTTATTTAGGTTTTGTTGCGAAGTGGAAATGCCAATGCCTGGCTCTGAGTAGGGCTGGGGATGTACAGTATATCTGTTTTGTCTGTCTGTATTACGACAGCACATACACTGCACACGGGTACCCAGGTTGATGATGAGTAGTGAGCCTTTTCATCTTTTTATTACTGTACAAAGTAACTTTCCTTCATGCACTGCTTTCTGTAGTAGCTGACTTTAAATATTTGTCTCAGCCATCTGTCAAAAGACATTCCCCATAACATCTCTTATGGGTAGAAATGCTGTAAGCAGAAGCTAATTACAACAGCTGAGACGCCGATGACATATCATATCAATGTTCTAGCACGGCAGGACTTCGCCATCACTCCATCTGCTACCATAAAATGTAAGGCTATCTCTACTAGTATATACCTGTGCATGGTGTACTCCGATAAACTGGCTTTACCAACTGACCAATTTTGTTATGAAACTGTATAGATATGCATGAAAATTCACCTGATTCACATATTTAATGTGGAACTGAAGATACAGGGAATCATTTTAAAGCCCCCTTTGCTCCTCCCAATACCCACAATGGGTTAAGGCTAACAAAAATGATAACAAAAAAAATGTGTCCATAGCTTTTCCCCAGTTGAAAAGTTACATGTCCTTGCATAATTGTGCAGCTAAATACTTCTGTAACTTTTGTTGTCCCTTTCTCTGGAATTAAATTTGTTAAGATGCAATTTTAACCCAAAGGACTAAAAAAAAGATTGATGTGGTGCTTACTGTTTCAATCGGAAAAAAAAAAAATGTGTGTATTAGGCAATGAGCCCAAAACTGTGTGAGAAGACATAAGGCAGCCTTGTTGTTTTAAATTTCACAAGCCAGTAGTAATTTATTTTAAAATAGGAGACAGAACCAGCTTCCATTCCCACAGCCAGCAATGATCCTAGCTCCTGGAACATGGCTATAAACTTGGGAATGGCTATTACTATACTAGACCACCAATAAAAAGAGATCTGATAATGAGGCCTATCATATACCCCATCTCAGCCTATTTTATAAAACCAAATAAGAGCTGATTCACACATGTGCAGTGTGGATTGAAGCTCAGGTTTCACAGCTTATTGACATAATAGTTGTTCAGTGGTTCATGTCAGGTTTACATCAGGTTCAGGACAGGAATAGCTCTCCGGAATTTATCCTGTGTGGTTTAGAAACGGTTCCCATAGAAGTCAATAGGCTGTAATCCGCACCTGAACCTGAAGGCACTGCTCAGAAATCATACATGACTTTTTCAAACCGCACTGAATCCGCACCATCAGTGCGCCGGACATATGTGAACAGGCACCATAGGAAGTAATGTTTTTTACATGTCATGCGGATTGGATGCGGTTCAAACTGCATCCAATCCGCATATATGTGAACAGGGACTAAGACATGCTGTATACATATTTGTCTTCTCACAGAAGCAGGGTTTATGTCATATCGTAAATGTTTTAGCTAGCAGCAGAATGCAGAACTGACATGTCCTGGCTAGGCTAAAATCTATACATAATTCATAGCATCTGTTGGGATTAAATTTGGTTGATGATGATTATTCCACTGAAAGCAGAAGACCACTCCCATCAGTTTTAGAGTAAAATGCCCAATCTTGTGATGTGCTGCAGGGAACTGAGGTACATTACTTCTTTTTAGGAAGCTGCATTTCAAGACTAGGTCATGAGTGGCCTTGTTCAAAGTGATATGCTGCACAATAAAATATATGTATTGGGATTGTGGCATATGAGTTATTCGAAATAACAAGGCATTTAGAAAGCTGTATCCGGGAGTGGCAGCTGTACAATCCTAAACATTTTTTATATCCCCTCAGCCACACCTCAGACCTCTTGATTGTTCAACACCCTTATTGGGGTCTAAATACAGAGGAACTGCATCAGCAGTCTAAAGTTCTCCTTTTACAATAAAACAAAGAACCTCTACCCAGGTCTTTATTATTTGGGAGCCCCAAGTACTCAGAATCGTGGACCTATGCCAGAACTAAAGAATCCTGAATACGGCTGCCAGACTCATTCACCTTTCCAACCGCTCCATCTCAGCCACCCCCCTCTGCCAATCCCTCCACTGGCTTCTGATTGCACAACGGATCAGATTCAAAATCCTAACACTCACGTACAAAGCTGTCCACCATACTGCCCCGTACTACATCACTGACCTAATATCCAAGTACCGCCCAGCACGCACAATCCGCTCCTCACAAGACCTCCTTCTCTCTAGTTCCCTGGTCTCCTCCTCCCATGCCCGCCTCCAGGACTTCTCCAGGGTGTCACCCATCCTCTGGAACTCCCTGCCCCAACCCATCAGATTATCACCTACTCTCCTCTCCTTTAGGCGCACCCTGAAAACCAATCTCTTCAGGGAAGCCTACCCCACCCCCTGCTAACCTGCCGACCTCCTCCACTCTTCCTACCACTCCATCCCCCACAGCTCCTGTACCACTATCCCCTCCCTCCTAGATTGTAAGCTCGAAAGAACAGGGCCCTCGATCCCCTCATGTTTTGCATTGTATTGGTATTGTTCTGTCACATGTTCTGTCCCCCTTTGTAATGTACAGTGCTGAGCGAACCATTGGCACTTTATAAATACTGTATAATAATAATAATAATAATAACTCCAAAC